CTGGTAATCTGTAAGCGATTTTATGGCCCATAGTAATGTAAAAATTTCCTACCCCTTCTTATATATTCTATACATATATTACGTTAATTTTCTCTTTCCCTCATTTACAATTATCACCTTATGTTTATTTGAACTTTTATTTAATTGCATTATGGGGTTGTGGAGATTGTTGAAATTGCGTACTGAAATAATGAATCAATCAGTGTTAGGCCACCTTTAGAGAATTGGAAGCACTGGACAGCCGTTTCATCCTGGTATGGAACTCCTCAGTGGCAATGCGCATCCACGAATCCTGCACCTCACAGGATTCGAACCCAGAACCTTCGGTCTGGTGCGTAAACACCTAACCTCTGGACGACTGAGCCAGTATCTAACGGTGTTATTGTCTAACTTCAATCAATTCACGGGTGCATAGAGCAAATACATCACATTTTTCAGAGCAATTACGTATTCTCACTGTTCTATCATAAAAATTTTTGTGTCAAATCGCTTATTTCTCTTTTTGATTTTAAGAAAAGTTTATTTATACTACATAATTTATTGCTTGACTCCAACTCATTCCTATAAACAAAAATTTCATTAGATGTCCTATTTATTAACTAATATCTAATCTGTAATGAATATAATCTACAAATCAAATCAATCTTTACAAAAGCTTTTTTAACTCAAATATAAAAAATATCATTCACTACCAAACCTCATGTAATCAATATTCATTTATTTTTAAATTTTACCCTACTTTTTAGTAATGTTTTAAAGTCAGTTGATTTATGTAAAATCAAGAATGTGGGTCAAGGAGTTTTTTGTTTTCTAATTTTTTTTTGTTTGTTCAACATGTGGTTTAATTACCATTTTCTATTATCTACACAAAATTTTTATAAATAAGTTTTACTACTTACTAAGTAGTTTGAGTATTTATAAGCATTTATTTCGAACTGGGTCATGGACGTAAACACATGTGGTATGGTGAATGTATTTCAATTTATGGATGCAGTATGTTTGTTAGGTATTCAGTATTTGGTTGATATGAAGTTACTTATAGGTGAACATTCTATTTTATTGTCTATGAATTAATCACTATAAATCCACAGAACGAGGTACTCAGAGTTGTGCTGAACTGTTACGCCTGCACGTTAACACGTCAACTTGATATACTTGAACTATTACGAGTTTACCTAGTCGGAAAACGAGAGCGAGGATCGAGGATCCAGCGACACAACATGCTCCTTAAATCCGATTACCCCAACTCCCATATTGAGTAAAAATAAGAAGACTTGATATGAAGTAGAACATGTATTCTACAAGTATCCAGAAAGCACGAGGTGCGAGTCCAGAAGAGAATCAGGATCCCGGACTAGGGACCCGGTCCTGGTCCTGGTCATAAAATGTTACAGATAATGCATATTTATACATTTTGGTCGAATAGGAAACACCATCGAAATCTGTGACATTGACAGTTAAGACGACCAATTAGAAGCAACATTTGAAGTGACAATGATAGTCAGGACAACCAATGAGAAAGAACATTGGAGCATGTGACATTGATATCTAGGACGACCATAAAACTGACCAGTAGGAATTAACCAATAGGAATTGACCAATAATTCTCTTACGATATTGAATGAATATCCTAACATGAACACATTTAAGAATTTCAAAATGTAGGCACCAAGATCACGGGTTATGGTTCCCAGCCTCTTTTGTTGTCATTGGCAATCTCTCATGCTCATCTGAAAATACGACATGACTAAAAGTCAGCATAATATTTTGAATAGTTCTTTAGATAAATACCTTGTTTTTTCGTTCACTTTGGCATCGATTGACTCTTAAATCTTCATAAAATCGGCTTTATAAACCATCAAAAAAGATAATCAAAATAGAATTTCATTTGACCTAACAAGTCCTATTCAAATCAGATCAATACAAAAATAAAAATTTTCGCTTACATAAATGCCTCTTCTATTTTACTGCGTAACAGTTATGAGAACAAAAGTCGTTGGTAGAAATTATCATAAAAGCAGATTAATAATTTATTTTAATTAATCACAAAATTAATATAAAATTAAGTCATGTTTGTTGTCTATCTGCAAAGTTTTCTATTTACTTATCAGAGATATAAAAATAGATGAGATTTTGAAAAAAAAACGTAATAATTATTTTATAATGTCTTGTAAAAATGTTACGACAATGATACTGAATAGTATAATAATGAAATAATTGTGTCTGTTTATCTTTGCATGTTCATAGATGTTTGGTCGGTTGTTTTATCTTCAGTAGTAGTTGTCTGACTATATGAGTGAATTTTATGGTTTACATAGCAGACTTATTTTATCATGCGGACGGACTTCAATTAGAAGATGGTCTACACCTCCTTCCTACCTGCATAGCTTACTCTGATAGTTTGTCTTTGTGTATCGGTTTAGCCTCTTTCATCTTTCTTCCGACCTACTATTGCATCAAACATCACCAAGTGTCCGAGGTAGTCGGTGGATAGGCATGCGTAATACATATATTAGCCAACATAGTTAGTAAAGATTCACCACTACTACCTTATCAATCCATGTACCATACTTACCTAGTATTTGCACCTAATCTTAGAATTGTTTTTACCGTTCAAAAATTTAATACATTAAAATTAATTTACTTTGTACTAACATTTACACTTTATCTCATTGTGTACTGTAGAACAGTTTTATATAAAGATGAAATAGCTCTCCAGGCATTGAAACATGAAGATTTATTCAAAGAATATTAGGAACTAGACAAAGGTTTATGTTAGGTTCGTCAGTAGGTACGCTTGAAACTATTACGAGTTCACCTTAGTCGATAAATGAGAACGAGAAAATGAACCAGCGTCTAGGTAGGCTACCTTGATTCCCAAACTGCAAAACAGAAATCTTGATATGTGTAGAAAGTATATTCTACAAACACCCAGCAAGCACAATACAATCAAGCATACAACTCTCGTTTATTTATACATCATTGAAACGTCCTTCAGACAGTTACGAAAATAGCACACTAAAATACACAGCAGCTAATCACAGCCATGGATTGTCCTGGTGGGAAATGAAATCTCAAGGTCAACTGATCAGTACATGCTGGCAAACGTGAAATCCGAAATAAGGCATTTATCAAGCGAGTTTTGGGCATATAACGTCCCCAACAGCTTATAAAGATAACAAACTGTGAAGCCAGTAACAGTAACTGTCACCTCAAGCTAAACATAATGCATCTTTGAGTGAGCTCAGCACAAAATAATTCTAAAAACATTAACTGTGTTATATGCAGCTATTGAGTTTGAAATTAGGATTTCTCGTTTGTTGAATATCTTTTCACTGGAATTAACCAAAATCTGTATGATCATTTTACAAAAGATATGCAGAAGAGATTTCTAAAAATACTGCTTATCTATGTAAACCCTGACATCATGATGTGATCCGAATGGATGGGAATAGATTACTGAGGAGACACTATTTGACAAATCGCACATAGTTCTGTTATGACTTGTTTCCTAAATTATAAAACTTAAATTATTCATACATTGGGCTAGATTATTTGGTCAATAAAATGCAAAAGTGCATTCATATCAGTTATCATTATTAACTCACTTAGCAGGTACATATTCGTGGACAAGATTTAAAACTGCACTTTTTGATGTAAGGGCTAGTAATATTATCAAGTTGTTCAAACCAGACAATCAGTCAGTGACAACGTAGAACTTCGTACGTACGTAAATCAGTTCAGGTTGTCATATCACGTAATTGTCTCGGTGACACATCACTTATGCCCAAGACTAAACAGTAAAAACAAACTAGGGGGATCCTTAAAATAACAATGAGAAAGTGATCAACTTTCCGTGAGGAAAAAAGAACTATAAGCAATAAAGAAGACAAAAGTGTACATATTTTAGTATGTTTTATCTTTCCTGGTAGTATAAAAGCCTTTTTTTAGATTTGAATTCAAAAAGCTGTCTTTATCAGTAGTATTCATTACCATATTTGGCTATAAAACATTATTAGTTTGCAATCAAATTCTAACATTTATTTTTCACTTACCACGATAAATGATTTTTCAATAACGAAGAGTTAAATTGATCATGTCAACACTGTTTACCATCAATCATTTTACGGTGGTTTTTTTACATTCTAAATTGTTAAATAACTGAATTTCTATCACTGATTAGCAGAAGTTATTTAACGCTGTCTATCAGTTTAGTTCGTTTACACCTTCAAAAACTAGTAAGAAGTAGGTACTCATCGATTTAAATTAAATTAATCTCAGGATTCCAAAGTCTGTATTTATTCAACTCCTGTCTCAATTACCGAGTTAGCTATTTTAATATCTGGAATCCCTTCCGAACAGTCAATTTATATAACACAGTCCAACTAGCTAACCATAGAGTATCACATATCATATGCAAATATTGAGAAATGAATTGTCATTTGTGAACTAATTAATAAGCCTTTAGTTGTTGGTTAGTTTTTAATTTAATTATTTTAGGTAGATATTTCTCTTTTCTGTGTTTAAATAATACAACCCTACGATTTTGTGCAGTTTCATTACTTAAACCTGTTAACCCTGATAGAGAATAGGCTGCCGACCAACATACTCCGACAAACTCTGTCCTAGGCTTTCCTTTCCAGTTCTACCAAATTAGTGTTCATTCTTCTCAGGTCTGTCTTTAATTCGTAATGTGTTTTCGGTCTTCGTTTTTTCCTTTGGCCTTGAAGATCACAAACAACGGCTTGCTTCGTGATGCAGCTGGGCGATTTCTGCAATGTGCATTCTCTCAAGATTGCAAATAATCCGCTAACAACGAGAGCCAAATAGCATGAAACCAAAGTACAGTACTTATCTTGTTTCCCTTCAAATTAGCATGTAGCGCATGTTACCCAAAGGTATGATCAAATAACTAGTATATCTAAGTAATATAGACAAAATGACATAATCTCACTGACACATACACACACATATACACGCGTTATACCACCATATTCACTGAACAAACCAAATTGTCAAACAATAATTAAAAAAAGAGACAATAACTCCAACATCTCATTCCAAATAAAAATCATGGTTTTATTGATTTTTGCAAGGACTGATAGTGTTTTCCTCTTATATGTTCATTTTTTTAAAGGAGGAAGGATAACAGGTAAAAATCAACAAGGGTAAATGGAAATGCCAGAAAGGGAATGTAATCAGTGTGTGTGTCAGCTATGAGAAACATACGATCTAGTCATGTGTATATACATCCATATCGATCCGAGTTGACACATATCTGTGAACTGTGAAACATTGTGAAATATAAAGAGGGGGAGGAATTAACGAAAATGAGTAAATTGTTACACATGATTACAGAGAGAAAAAAAAGTAAATAACAGCACAAACTGGCAGTGCACAAAATATGAGCAGACGATCAATAATACCTTCTTTTTTCGGAAAAAAAGAAATGAGCAATTACAAAGTATTACATGCACATTTTGGTATTTTGTAAAAACAATTAATTCTGGTATTATTCAAGAGAGAAAGAGAGAGAGAGTAAAATAATTCATTCAAAGGAAGGAGTCAAGAAAAAGAAGAATAATGCTAAAAGGAAGCCAAAAATATCAAAATGAAACCAAAAAAGTACGACTACTACTACTACTACTAACAATAACAATAATAATAATAAAAGTCATGTAGAATGGGAAAACAAAACAAAATTGATTTTTACATACATACATTATAATAAATACAGTAGTGTTGATAAAATTTTGGCAGTAAATTTTCCAATATGAATATGAATTATGAATTACACACACCAACCAATCAATCCCACCGGAGTAAAAAATATAGAAGAAAATGATTCAAAGAATTCAAATTTCTTTTTTGTTCTTCTTATTCTGTTGTCTCTTGTACACTGGTGATATATTCTTCTAAAAGATCAGCTTGTTCATAATATTTTGTAGCTAAACGTCCTTCATAAACTTTCAATGCTGCATCACCAGCTGATTGAAATAGTTCATCTACAAGGCAACACATGATTATCAAGTAGACAAAATGAATAAATATAAACATGAAAGTGTGTAATAGAGGAGCAGTGAAGAAATTCTCATTAAAATAACTAACTGATAATTTGCTAAAACCAATAGGTAAGAATGGCAGATCAATAGACGCAGTAGTGATACTTCATCAGTTGAGGTGTTTGGGACATGTGTTGCGTATGGCCAACCACCGACTGCCTCGTCGAGCTTTGTTTTGTAGTGTAGGAGTAGGTTGGAAGAAAGTTAGGGGCGGCCAAACCAAAACATGACAGAAATCCATGAAATCATTGACGAGTGGACTTAGACATGTCGGTATTTGTCGACTACCTGGTTGGGTTCCGCGAGATGATAATAATCGATGGTTAGAGACCTTGGATGATGTGGCTCAAAATCGTTCGCAATTGCGCCAGTGCATTTATTCTTTGTGTTCTCTCAAATACTAATCTTCTACATTCTTCAACCCCTCTAGTTTTGACTTTCTAAACTTTTCTCACTGAATCGTACTTCTTGAATAATATCTTCTAATCCTAACCTCTCCGATTACTTCTACTTCCTCTACTACTATTGGATATGAATTGACAATTATATCTCTGTGCTGATGTGGTATGGCAACATGAACTGATGTACTTACTTACGAAGTTCTACGTTGCATCTGACTGACTGAAAACCAATAGTTACGGTTTATACTATTGGTCATTAATGAAAATAAATTTTTGAAGCTTCTAGAATATACGTTACCATAATCTGTTCGTGAAATAAAAAACATTTCTAATTTGATATGCTTACAGAGCTATTACAGTTCAGCTTACTTGGTAAACGGAACAAAGATCAATGATGCAGTGACACGATAGGCTATTCTAAACGGATTGTTCCAGGCCTCACTAACTAAAGCAAGAAGTCTTGATAAGACCGTAGAGAGAATGTAATCTACAGACACACAGAGAGTACGAGGTCCACAAGCACACAACTCAAGCGTATTTATACAATGATAGAAACACCCTTGGTGAGAGACACAAAATAATGCACTAAAATAATCCAATAACTAATGAAAGTCAAGGATTTTCCGAGTGGCCGATGTAAGCTAAAGGTCAAACTAAGTGCCTTTAGCGCGAAAACATAAACATTCAAAATTTCAGAAATAAATGACCAAAAAATAGGACCTTTTCCAAGTGAATTCTGGGGATCCAACACGTCCCCGACATTATTTTTTGTTCGCTGACTCGGTGTAGACTTCTCTTTAGAAAATAACTTCAATATGCTAATAGTGTAGTGGGCGCTACTTATAAGTAGTATATGACGCGAGTGTAAACGTAATGTCTGGCAGCAGAAGATGGGGGACGATCAAGAAAAGAAGAGTGGGAACACAATGGAATTCGTATGAAACGCATGAATAGTGAAATGTCAGACAATTGAGATGATGAATTGGATTGAAGATTTGCAAATTAACCGTTTACGATATGGTTTTCCTATTTTACTGAGTAACTCTGTAATTTGCGATAAATACAACTTGGTTGTCCTCACCTTTGTTCTCCTTCACTACAATAATACCTATATAAGTATATCTATCTGATTTCTCAAATGAGATACTATATGTGCACTAAAAATAATTAATCGTTTTTGAATACTGATTCTGCTAATTATAAAGCTTCTTATTTGCAGATACTTTACAATAACACTGGTCCTTATGAAATAAATTCACTTAAACTCTATCTAACTCAAACATTAAATCAATTGTATTATGATAGACTTGACTGACCTATCATACTAATTATTATTAGTATTATTATTATTATCGTCACCTAGTGTTATCTGTTTTCATTCTATTTTCTCTAGTTGTAGTGAATTATAAACAATACGTTATGGCACTGGAAATGACCTTAAATATGTGGTGCTGTGGTGCGAACTACTTATAAGTAGTAAATAACGTGAGTGTCAACGTAAAGTCTGGTAGCATAATATGGGGGGAAGATCAAGAAAGGAAGAGTTAGAAAACAATGGAATTTGTATGAAACGCATGAATAGTGACAATTGAGTGATGTTTTGCAACAGGAACAGTCCAGTTCGATATGATGGACTGATCTTTTGCAAATGAATGATTTACGATATGGTTTTCCTATTTTACTGAGTAACTCTGTAATTTTCGTTAAATACAATTCGGTTGCCCCACCTGTGTTCTCATTCACTACATTTTCAGTCGTATAGCTTCAGCAATACTAGATGCTTCTGTATATATTACCCTTCTTTCCAATGCACCTAGGGCATCCATGGGAAGAGAAAAGGGGGAACTGTCAAAGTGCCATATGTCAGTCTAAACACTACTCTTTCAAATGCACTACTACCAACCCGTTCAAACACCGCGGGCTAGAGTCAAGCTCAACAGGGTCTTCTTTCCCCGCTAATTCTGCCAAGCCCGTTCCCTTGGCTGTGGTTTCGCTAGATAGTAGATAGGGACAGTGGGAATCTCGTTAATCCATTCATGCGCGTCACTAATTAGATGACGAGGCATTTGGCTACCTTAAGAGAGTCATAGTTACTCCCACACCACAAATACACTACTGTTCATATATCAATAGGATACCTACTTAAAAAAAAGAGGTGATCGTTCTCAGACAGACGCCTTGTATTGCTGCAATCCATATGTGTAAAAAAGAATAACTTGAACAATTTTTCGAACTAGAACACTGCAAGCCATTAAATATACATATTGAATATTGCTATCGACATCAAATTGGTCATGTCTGTAAACTGGCATGAATTCTATAATAATTATTTTTACTACTGTTTGCATGTTAGAGGTGTTGTACTCTTTGAGCTGGAGAATAATTTAATCGCACCTTCATCAGTAATTGGTTTATGTAACCGCATGCGTAAATTAAATAGTAAAAGACAATGAACATAAAGAACATCTTCGACAGTACAGTCAACGAGAACTTGGTACGTCCCGACCGTAGCTGCTAACTTGACGTGGTGGTCGGGCTTGTCTATCGTGATGACCCAACCAAGCTATATTGCCTCAAACGTATGTTCTTGTAGTTCCTACCATACCAGGCAGGTCGATTGGAGAACGATGAGACTAAAAACAGCTAATCAATGTCTGAGGGTGAAGTCGTACTGCTGACTTCAGAGGGGTGTGAACAGCAATAAGGTGTTTCCCTTGGACAGCAGCGATTCTACCTTCTCACAAAGAAGGAAGGGGTTAGAAAAGGTCGACCCTAAAAATCTCACACCTAACCTTACCTCACAGATTTCTGTCTTCAGAGATAAGGCCTTTCAAAAAAGGCGGAGCTAACGCTTTAAAAAATTCTCATAAAAAGGTCGTGCGTGACCAGCCTCAGGCAGTTGTCTCTCGATCTCTGCGGTCACACTTCGAGGTCTCTAAGACCAGCGCCAATCTACCTTCCTTTTCAGGTTCCTCAAGAAACACTCTTCCACGGTGTGGGAAGCCGGGATGTGACATCCGTCCTCATACCCGTAACAGAACAGAACCTGGTACGTACGTACATCAGTTCAAATTGCCGTAACCATATTGACATAGAGAGATGGAACAGAATATCAACGTCATTAGGAATAAGTATAACTCATAAGCCAAAAAAATATTTACGTTCAATATTATGCCCACCAAAATAACACAATGATAAGAGAGTAGACAAATCAATACAAATAAATTATTCAAGTCAGAGAGTATAACACCTTCTTAAATCTTCATCTTCAGCTAAAATTATTGCCCCATCATCTTATATGGTAGATTTGTATGAGTATTAGATTGAATTCATGTCTTAAGTGTAGAATAAAATTTGACTACAATTGGGAGTATTGTGATGAGCACACAAAATCAGAACACTTCCAACATCCTTAGCCTTAGTAGCTACAAATATTTCGCATCATCTTGAGCACAGTGAAAAAAAACAAACATATTGGCTAGAATATACGAAGTTTTTAAAAAAAATCCAAACTACTTAGTATTGATATTCAGTAGTACTGTTATTGTGTACAAAATTACCTCAATCACAGCATTTCACATACACACTAGTGGATCAGGACAACAGGTTAGAGAACGAAGGATAATAAGCCATTTTAGAATAGGACTATCGCAGTTAGTTTGATTAAAACAAGAACAGTTCACATAACAGAATAACATGAATTTATCTTTTTTCACAGTCTCTCATCAGTTACAACATAAACAACATGTTATGCATCATAATTTTGGAAAGGTTCTCTGCCATTTAAAATCATCAGGAAAGATTGAATCCAGATGAAAGTCCACATGATCAAAAAGTATGTATCCAGCTGGCAATATTGTTTGCAGAAATACATAATCATACTGATCATAACATCGATATTTCACTGCTAAATAACTCTATTTCTATGTTGGTTGTTCTAGAATATGTCTACAATCAACCTTTCATACTTGTTGCTTTTGTTCAATAATCTCCATTGTTGAAAACCAACCTGAGTTCAATGTGTTACATTGATCTTTTCATTCCTGCAACAACTTGGATGACTCTCCCAGTTTCCTACCTTATTTCACAGTCTCTTATCAGTTGCTTACAATCTAAACAAAATGTTATCAATCATTAAAACTTGATATCATAATTTTGGAAAAGTTCTCCATTATTTGAAATCATCAGGAAAGATTGAATTCAGATTATTGTCGGCATGATAAAAAGTATGTATCCAGTCGGCAATATTGTTCTCGGAAATACATAATCATAACATCAATATTGCGTTCTGGTTAGGGTTTTTTAGAGAGTTAGTTTTCTCCGTGCCCAACCCTCTTCCTTTATCCGGGCTTGGGACCGGCAGTAACCCTAAAGGGGCTCCAGGTTGAGTCACTGATGAAAAACTCGGCGAAATTATGATATAAAGTTTATAAATCGAATTTTATTTATAACTAATATTTTGTTTAGGTCGTAAAAGCAACTGACAAGAAACTGCAGAATAAAATGTATCAATATCATACTCTGCTAGATTAACTGTTCTTG